ATAGACAATGTGAAGGAGATTGAAAGTGTTTCTTTTTTTGCATGGGAAATTGATGAAACTACCGATATTACCTGTACATCACAACTTTCAATCGTGTTTAGATATGTCAAAGATGGTAATGCGGTAGAAAGTTTTATGGGTTTTCACGATGTTTCATCTGGGCGTACAGCTGACGATTTGTTTAATTTTTTTAATTCGTACGTGTGACACCTATAATTTTAGGCAAAAGTTAATTGCCCAAACCTATAATGGGGCTGCGGTCATGGCCGGCCATTTAAATGGTTTACAAACTAAAATAATGTCCATAGCTCCTCATGCATTTTTTACGCATTGTCATGCCCATGCAGGGCCGTCGCTATGGGGGACGGGGGGAAGCCTTCCCCCTGCTTTTTCGACTTGGGAAAAAGTTAGGAAATTTTGGGCCGTGAAGATAGAAAAAAATGATAGTAAAAAATGAAAAAAAATTAAAAAAATTAAAATGAGAGAAAAAAAAGGGAGAGGTGATAAGAAAAGGGAAAGAACCAGGAGAAGGTTGGGATTTCCCAACATGCATAACTTGGAGATCCCATACTTTGAAATTCTGAGTTGTTTGAAAACTTCAAAAAAGTTCAATTTCTCCCAAGTAAGAAAACAGTCCTGAACAGTCCACAAATTTTGAAGTGACAGTTCTACAAAATTCACAACTTTTCGCTGTTTTTTTGACTTGGAAAAGTTTGGAAATTTCGGGCCGTGAAGATAGAAAAAATAATAGTAGAAAACAATAAGCACAATATTATTTAAGTGTTGTTTCCTTTCAATTACCAAAATTTATTTTTGTTTGTGCATACCCTAATGGGCATGCATTCAGCCAATCTTTGGATAGCTAAGTAAGAGAATTAATATATTATAGTAGTAACTAATCCCTTGGCTTTAATTTTTTCGAAAGTTGGGAAATTTTGCTGGTGGAGTTGGGAAAATTTTGATTTCCTCCCCCCCCCTGGTATTTCTTTTCGCTACGGCCCTGTGCCCATGCCCTAACTCTAGTATTAAGCAAAGCGTGCAACAACATAAAAATTTTCGCGCCTCTGGCGGGCTTTTCTGTGTGTATATAGATTTTATAACTGTAGCCTCTCGTGTTCTCCAAGTCACGAGCCGTCACTGTTTACTATAATACGTATTAGCTCCTTATTACATTACAATTACATTTTATAAACTAAACTTTTGATATTGCGACTCATCTTTGTATTCAACGCAAAAATTCTGGCAAGTGATAAGTTAAAATTCATTATAACATTATAACAGTGAGGTCATTGGGAGTTTATAGTTTTCATATAGATGGTACGATCTATATGAAAAATCTCACCATTTTTCAAATGCCAGATTTTTTTGCTCAAACCAGTCGGATCCTTTTTCCTTTCGCTCCAATATTCACTCAAACATGATGGTGTCATTAGCCCAACATTCCACGCCAACCCTATGTTCCCAGTAAAAGTGTAGTACCTATATCAGATTTAGCCTGACCGTTGATATGCGCTCTAGGACAAAAGAGAGATTATTCAATGAGCTTTCTGTCATTGTTCTGATAAGATTTTCATTATAAAAGCGTGGGCTTTCACAACTGGAGGCTCAATAAGGTTATTATTATGTCACTTCAGTATGGTATGACGTTAATGTCTTATTGCTGTGAATAATGGTACCTATTTGTTAAAATATATTTTTCCGTTAAACACCTGTCACGCTCTTCGAACGACAACTCTCAAAAGTCGAAAATTGTACGAGCTGAGGAGTAACAAGGTCTTAACTTCTAATATGTGATTTCTGGCACAGGTTGGACGATAGGATGTGAAAATCAATCGTCCGGACTCGCGAGCCGAATGATTGATTATCTTACTTATTACTGGAGTTTTTTCCCGACACCAAATCGTTATTTTAACACCTCGACACGTGTTTGGATCACCAAGTTATCATCTTCACAAGAGGAATATTAAACTGTTTGATATTCCTCTTGAAGATGATCACTTGGTGATCGAAACACGTGTCGGGGTGTTAAAATAATGGTTTGGAATGGGAAGATTAAATTGTTCAATCTTCCCCTTAAAGATGATCACTTGGTGATCGAAACACGTGTCGAGGTGTTAAAATAATGGTTTGGTGTTGGGAAAAAACTCCAGTAATATTCATTACTACACCAAAGGTTCTTAACAGTGCATCACAAAAAAGAATATTTATCCATTAAAAAATGTAAATTCTATTATCTAGTCCTTGATAGATGATAGTAATGTAAAAAACAGACCACTTTGTTCTCGCTAATAGTAAATAAAGGAAATTGAAAGATTAAGGATGTCCAGAGCTATTAATACACGTTCGTTGATGCGACAAATACTTACGAATGAAAGTCATTGCATTGTGAACCACGGGGAAAATATTTTCATTCTGAAATAGATTCAAGCAGATCATTTCTCTTCATAAGTAATTTCCTGGATATCTTTTGTATTATCGCAAAAATCTTAATATTCAGTTATATTAAGGATTGACATTGATTACAAACAACACTTTTGCAAAGAAAACCAGAATGTTAATCTGTTGTACATATCAATGCATAATATACAGGGTGTCAATTTGAAAACTTCCCACCCTACTATCTTCCTTCCAGTAAACAATATGAGGACAACTTTATTGTCAAGGGGGACACTTTCAAGGACTACTTATAGCCCTCGTGGTTCAACCCCTTAGGAGGGGTAGATGTTACCCTTAGAATTTTAAATGGAAAAGAGAGTCAAGTGACACATCATTTTGATTTGCGTTCAATTCTGCTTCCATTGGTACCCTGACTTACTATTTTTTTATGGGGATTTTCCGAAAAATAGAAATAGAATTATTAGTACGCCTATAGATTTAGGTAGTGCATTGTCAAATGCTCCTTCAATATAAAGAAATACAGCAACCACAATCTCCTTGTTGTCAAGGGATTGAGAGATTTTCTCAACGAGGTTGTTTAATGCTGAATCTGTCGATTTGCGGGGTTTGATAAGCATACTGGTGGTTATTCAGTGGGGATGCATATAATGTTACCCTCCTGATATGTCCGTCCAGTATCCTCTCAAGTCCTTTCAGAAAGAAGGATGTAAGGCTGACTGGTCGTACGGATTTGGGGTGTGGGTCTCTCCGGCCCACTTTAGGTATATATACCACCCTTGCTGCCAACCAACTGGGTGGTATATAGTTTCACGCTAGACTAGCTCTATACAATTTTGTGAGAATAGGTAAAATTATTTCCAGTCCGTTTTGAAGAAGAGCTGGAAATGTACCATCCACTCCAGGACATTTGAAGGGCTGAAAAGACTTGATAGCCCATTCAACTGCCGGTGCTGTGATAATCTTTCTTGCAACGTCCCAGTCGTTCTTTTTTGGGCGTTTAGCGCCCTCGAAGATGAGCGGTCTGTTGTTATCAAGAGTCAGATTTCTAAGACCCAAATAAATATGTAAATCATTTAAAAGTAACCAATACAATGTACAGATATAAGATACCGATATGAGAAACACTTCACTGATTGGCATATCCTTATGAAAATAAGACAACAATATTTCAATTCAAACTCCTCTTGGAGAGTCAAGGACTGTTGCGCTTGTGTTTGTGGCCATAAGTGTTTGCTGGCCAAACTTCGATGCTATGGCTTGTCGAATCATTTTTGTGAATGGCTCTACAGCTACCTGAAAGAACGTTCCCTGCAAGTGGCCGTCGATGGACATCTCTCGAATACTTTTACCATTAACGCTGGTGATTTCCAGGAATCCATATTGTCTCCAACCCTCTGTTTATCGACTTATTTGAAAAAACCAAGAAACGAATATATAGCTTTGCTGTCAACAGCACACTTGTCTCATTCCATTTGGATTCTAGGACATCTTCTTCACCGGTAGCAGAAGGTTGTATATCTTGATGAGGATCTAGAAATGATTTCGAATTGGGATGAAAGTAACCAGGTTCAATTCAATGCCACAAAAACCCAGGCATCGGTTTTCTCCAAAAAGATAAATGTCTCCGAACCGGATATAATAATGTCAGGACAGACAATTTCGCTTTCTGCTTCCATAAGTATGAGGGTTAAAATGTCTTGACACAATCATGTCGCTGGAATTGCAAAGGCTGCTTCTCAAAAGCTTGGAACACTGTTACGAACCAGAAAACTGTTCACGTATCAACAACTTTTGATGCTTTATAAAGCTCAGATCAGACCTTCTTTGGAGTATTGCTATCATGTATGGAGCACCGTCCCTAAGCATACCCTCAAGCTGCTGGATTCCGTCCGGAAAAGAGCCATCCACCTGATTGGAGACGCAAACATCACTTGCAACCTTGATAGTCTGAAACATCGAAGAAAGGTTGGAGATTTGTCTCTCTTCTATAAATACTTTCACGGGGAAGTGTTCAAGTGAATTGGCACATCTGATTCTACCAAGAGCGGTACATATCAGAAATACGCGACGGACTATGGCTGCTCATTGTTTTGAGGTTCAACTTAGTATACCTGGAACTTCACTGTTCAAAAACTCTTTCATTTGGAGAACTGCGTTTATGTGGATTGAACTTCTTGAGAACGTTTTTTCAAATGGATTCAATTTCCAGCGATTCAAATCCAATGTGAATCGCTACTTTCGCACAGGCACCGCTCTTAGAGCGCCCTAAAGATTTTCCTGTGGTGTTTGTTTTGTCCTTAAAAAAAAACGGCCAAAAAACCCGAAAAATAGCTTTCAGACAATATTTGCTTTTTTTTTCTGATTGATTCGGCCTTTACTTGATGAAGATCCATAGTAATTTCAAAAACTACACCTCACGATTTGATCTTCACAAACTTTATCACTTGAAAAAGCTACTGTGCTAGTGAAACATGTGATATATTTTTCAAAATAGTTTGTGAAGATCAAACCGTGAGGTGTAGAAAATATTTGCTTTGTTTGACCAGGGTTATGATTATTCAGAAGAGCTCTGGAAAAGGCATTTTTGAACGAAACAAGACAAAAAACGTTTAATTTACCATTTACTATACCATTATAATCCTCAACTACATTGACAGATCTGTGTTCTAATGACTTAAAGTTGTCACAGAATACCTTACAGAAGAGACACTCTGCACGAAACCGAAACCTTAAGTTTTTGACAGTCTTGTGTGAATGTGAACATGGTAAAACAGAACTAGTTTCTCTACTTCAATTATAACCTGATGAATTTAAAACAATTTGAATTTTCTACATAAAATAAAATATTAAACACCTGCAACACACAATATGGGTCACAGAAACTTGACCCCTCAATATCAAAGTATCTCAAGGTGAGTGTCTCTTCTGTAAGGTATTGTGAGATATATTACAAAAACTACTTCGAACTATGAGTGAAACAGAATGAAAATTAGCAACTTTCGATAAACAGTCGTATCGTCAAAAATTTTGAACTTTCAACTATTTTTCATTTGTCTTTTGTTAATTAATATTCAATTTCTTAACAAGAAAATTTGTTTTTTTAAATTTCTTTGCTAGATTATTAATTTCAGTAACTACTTCAATCTGTTTTCGATATACCACCCCAAATGTTTTATAGAAAATCTGAACTTAAAATAATCTAAAATATAATAATACTCAGGCCTTAAATTATTCATTTCATTCCAATAATCACGCTAAATTATTAAAAAACTTTAGGTTTCATGTATATCAGTGAATAAAGTTGTTTACTATTAATAAAAACTAATGCTAAAAATCACATTCAACATGAAAGAATATTGCAATTCAATAAACAGTATTTACTTGGCACTGTTTAACAAGGCTTTGCCAAGTTCAATTTGTTTTTTCTTATAGGTTTTAATTTCATTTTCCAAATTCACCATCTCATTTAAAATATCCGGATTTTTTGGTTCTAGTTTGTATGCTAGATCCAATCTTTTCTTAGCTAAATTAAACTCGCCTAACATTCTTAGACATTTAGCATTGTTGTAATAACATTTCGCAGATATAGTCAAGTCAGTCCCATTAACAAGTTCTCTAATTTTATTGAAATTAATACAACCTTTTTTGGGTTCTTCAACTTTTGTGTAGCATATCAGCAAATTAGTATATAGCCTCATCAATAGTTCTTGCTGTTTAATCTGATCATCATAATCTGAAAGTTGGCACATTTCTAATTTTCCTGCTGCTGTGTTATACTCTCTGATAGCAGCTTTAACATTTTTTCCATAAAGATCATTTCCTTTGGCACACAGAGCAAGACAGTACCCATACAAATTTACAAAACTTCTCTGATCTTCTGGCGGCAATGATTCATATGCACTTGCAGCACCCACATCAACAATTTCTAAGAGTTCTACCTCAAACAGCACTTCTGAATTTGCTGGTACTCTATTGAGACAACCAAGCTTTCCATATGCATATTGTGGCTGAATGAGAAACTGGGATTTCTCATTAAGTTTCATGCTTTGAACTGCAATATCTAATCCTGGAATTACTTCACCACTATTCACAGTGAACTGATGTGATTTCTTTCTGGCATATGTAGAGTCAAAAGGTTCTGCATTAAACTCAATATACCCATTATAGTGAACTCTAACACTGGACAAGTCTGGTGGTTTATCACCATATCCCTCACGAATAATACGTTTCTTGATTGCCCCATTTTCAACAATATTGAACATTTTTGAAGCGATATTTTCAAATGGTTGGCCTTCGATATATGTGTCTTCATCTTGGTAATCGCCTCCTACCACTTGCATATTCATAAAATCTAGTAGATTTTTCTTGTACTCTCGATCTTCATCGGTTTCTTCCTCCACACCGTCCACCGCTTCAGATTTGACAGTGAACTCCACTCCGTCTTCCATCAAATCTCTGTAAAAATACAAGAACAAGGCTGGATTTATAGACAGAATAATGTGAACATAACGCTAATGCCAACTGTTAGTTAAAAACAAAGTGACAATTTGCATGCATTCATTAATAAATGCAACAACATTTCTGTTCATGTTTCATCTCTTGTTTCACTAAGTACCTATTCTTTAAAGACGGTCAGTTGAATGGTTCAATGGTTAGTTTACTCAGTTTTTTCATCATTGCTTTCAGAATTCAGAATTGTGGTATTTCACAAACTTATTTATTGAACAAAAGTAAAATTTGTAGGAATCAGTCTTTCTTTATTATCCTTTTTTGGGTATCTTCATCTATTACTTTATGCAAAATTATCAAATACCACTGATAAACAGAACTTTTCCTTTATGAATAATTTATTAAAATAACACAGTAACGTATCAGGATGAACCAGAAGTTTGCCCTCTTTACATCTGTATAAACCTCTCCATTACAATTTTTATTATTATCAGATTGTCGAAGGTGAAAATACCCAAAAAAATCAATACAGAAGTATGTGTTAATTATAAAAATGAATCTACACAGATTATATTTGAGCTATGAAAAGAACGTCTGTTCGCTTACTTCAAAGATTATGTTATTATATGGTCAATGTTGTATTACTTAATCTATAAATCAATCTTATAGACCAAGAACCCATAGCCTCCAAGCCTACATCATTTTTAGCAAAGCTAATATAGAGTGTATGTACTTCAGAATGTGAGCAACTTGGTAGTACAAAAGCAGGGCACTTTTACAAATATTGGTGATCAATTTTCAACATCCTAATGATAGATCACTGCTAGTACCGAATGTTTTTTTAGTATAATAGGCATTGATATGAAATCCAACATTGGGAATATATTCACCACATGCATTTTTATCAATGACTTCCAGTTTCACATTCGAAGGATAATGTAATTGCAGTGACATGACATTAGAATTTTAAAATCCCAACAGGCTTTCTCATGGTGAGGCGTAAGAAATTGATTCTCCTATATCTGTAAAATTAGCCAGTTATCTATTTATTGACAAAATATTCTTTGGTAAAATGACAGTAACTCTGGGATTTTGGATTATTGACAAACTCTTTAAAAACTGCAAAGGCTCATACGTACTTCAGTTTTATCGGTTCATTTAATATTTCTGACATTCTAATATCCTTCCAACTTTTCTCAAAATAAGAATAGAGTAAAAATTGCTTTCAGGATTTCCAGGTTAGGTAGATGTTTACAGGTATTTATTGAGGAATCTTCTGAAAAAAATAGAATCAATAAATTGATAGGTACTAATTATATAAAAAAATCTAAATTGCTTACAAATATTTCTTCCAATGGTTACAATCTACCACTGTGAATAATTTTAACCTAATTCGCCTCTAACTCTAACCACAAACTCGCAAACACAAACCAGGAGCAAAATCGAAGCGAAAATAAAAAAGCAACACTGCTTGCGCCATCTCTTAAGCGGAAGACAAACTAGAATGAGTTGAGAATAACTAATTTTAGATAACGTCGAGAGGATGGCTCACTTCGAACCCCAATAGTAAATTATGACGTTCTGGTGCTTCCTTATACTAGTTTCCTCATACTAGTGACCCATTTCCATGAAATATATACATAATCCATTTTCATCAGAGCTGACATTTTTTTAGATTGCATTAATTGATATAAGATAAATGTTCCAATCATCGACATAGTAGTGGGTAATTGAAGATCACACACTTTTAAAATATAAAATGGTTGCTGGCTCCGTTTCGTGTCCAATTTTTCTCTTCACGAGAACTCTCTTCGTGTCGTTCTGGCAACGCCAAATTATTTGGATGTTATCAAAGGTGGTATTCCACCTCTGACAGCATTGTGAATTGTGGACTAAAATTAAAATAAACTCAATTAACGACATAGAAAGACTCATATTAATGTCAATAGTAAAATACACACAGTTTTTTATTGACATGCTCACAAAAATTTGGTGCGAATTTCACATAGATTCTAAAAAAGGGGTGCTTCGTACTAAAAAATCAAAACATTCGTTGGATGTCCTGAAATCTTAGTATATCAAATTTAAATTAATAGGGTCGATAGTCAGTACTTTTTAATTTGACTGAAATATATTAGAAATATATGATGGAATTGGCCGATACTTGATGAAAATCTATAACTAACATATTCAAAAAACACCTTAATGTAAAGTAAAGACACGCCCGAAGAAGCCATTGTATGATGAAACACGTGTTGCGTTTTTGTAAAACCGTTTAGTGAAAATCTCACAATAAAGAGTGTTTTAAATACGTTATATATTGCAAATTTTATTTTCAATTGATTTGTATGATATGGGAATGAGGAGATTTTATAGAGGTTTTATAAAATTACAACTATTTCATCAAACTTCTCAAAGACAAAAAAAAAAATTTAAATCTGTATTTCCGTTAACCAGCTGCCGCATCCCTACGAACGACCACCCTCAGAAGTCGAAACTTGTGCGAGCTAAGAACTAACGAGGTCTTACCTTTTAACGTGTGATTCCTAACACGGGTTGGACGATAGCAAGTGAAAATCGATCGTTCAGCCTGGGGCTTGAACCACCGATCAACATGGGGGTCGATTTGAGTGAGTGAACAAAGCACTCACGTCGAACCGACCGGCTACCAACCGACAATTTAAGTTATTTGATTTTTTTCAAACAATGATTATTTCACAAAATTTAAATACACCTCAACGGAGCTTCAAAAAGTGAAAAACTTCATTCATTTTTATTAGTGAGTCACCTTTCAGTACTCCCGAATTATCATATGAAATGAATGTTTTTTATATGCGATATTCCTCTTTATGGAAGATAAAATCAAAATATAATTTATAGTACCTAAGTTGTCCTCGCAGGTCAAAAAAATTTTCAATTCTTTAAATAAACACCGCAATTTCTGATATATCAAATAGTTTATTGGAAACTATAATATTTTTTTTAAATATTTGAAAATCAGTTTTATGGCTTGAATTTGTGGCAGTATAGTTTATTTATCAGGGCCCCGACATGGTCGATACCTAAGCCACAGCAAGGGGTCTGCTGATAATAATTTAACAAATTATCGAACCGTATTGTCAAACAATATTGTGGGACAAGTATTTTTTGGGGGAAAATTTAACCGTACCTCCATGTGAAATTGTATCTGGCCGTTTTAAGAATCATACGTTAAAAGGTAAGACCTCGTTAATACTTCGCTCGCACAAGTTTCGTCTTCTGAGGGTTGTCGTTCGTTAGGGTGCGACAGCTGGTTAACGGAAAAACAGATTTCAAAACAGACGGATTAATGAAATAGTTTGGGCAAACCCAAATGAATTTTTATTTCAACTGATGTTCACTTCACCTCTATCATGATGACATAGTGATTCGACAGTGACTGAAACCGGCAGATTTGTAAGCAGAATTGGTCACAAAAATGGTCCAAAACATATGGAGATACTTATAATGGACGAAGTTACCACAGAAAGAAGTAAGAAATGAATTTATAACAGATGTCAATATTATCTTTGCGCTGAATGTCAGTCATTTTATTCTAATAATAAAAATTCAGCTCAGCTTGATTTTTTGAACTTGTTTGTTGTACCCAGCAGACTGTCGAAACTCTGGGCTATAGTGTGAACGTTGATAGCTGCAGGGACACGTGGAAGATCTTCGAACTTCCCCATTGTACTCACCACTCAGCAGCTGTCAAAGCCCTGCGTTAGTATGTAGGTTGAGTGGCTATACAGGGGCTCGTGGAGGTTCTTGAAATAAGCAAAATGAATTTTTCTCACTAGGTAGTGACTTTTCAGCAGCCACTCGTAATCTGATCCTATCAAGGTAATGCTGTTTGGTGGTCAGCAGTACTCTATGACTCAAAGTGTGTAATAGCTATTTGCCATTTACTGAAGGGTTTTTTAACCGCATTCTACTCCACATGATAGCAACAAAAACTTTTCCGCTGCTGACGTGAAATGTTCATATATACAGTATATGAATGTCCTATATCACTGGTTTTTCTCTCAGAGGTTTGCCTGTTGCGCGTCACTCCTCTTTTGTCCAATAAGAAACTTTCCCCTGCTCACTTTTCAGAGAGTGAATATTTCTTATTGGTCAAATGAACCTCAGTAATTTCAGGAACAAAGACATTTCTGTGAAATAGGTTTTATGTAAATTTAATATACCTAATGTATGGCTTCTTTCTCTAGGTCAAAATTAGTATGTATGGCCACATTGCCAGACGTTCTTTTCTCTAGAGAAATATAGCATATTTTTCGTTTTAATATTAGAGGTCACTTCCATATTCTGAGTCGTTTCATTTCGAAAATGTGTTGCAGGTAGTTTCCTTCTACTGAGGCTTCCTTTGAAATCTACGGAGTTTCATGTCGACAGTCCCTTATTCAGTCCTACAATATCTTCTTGTAAGCTGGCTCTATGGATATATCAGGAAGCAATGGAAGGAGGAGATATCAGAATTGTGGGAGCTAGAATCGATGATAATACACAATGGTTCATAAAAAGTATACCGGGTGATAATAGTAAGAGGTAAGCATATACAGTTAGTAACTTATGAAGACACAGTAGTGTCAATGCAAAATTATACAATCAAATATATCAATTGACTTTTTCAAATGTATCAATTAACAGGTTTGAAATATGTCAATGAACACATTTCATATATGTTACTTTTGGAAGCACAGAAGGGCCAAATAATACGTTTATTAGATATTTGTTTCTTGGAAATTCCGACATCAATCTCGAAAGTTCGAGTTTGAAGTGCAAATTCCGAGTTTGAATTCGAAATTTCGTAATTAAAGTCGGAATTTCCAAAGAAACAATTAACAAAAATACTGGACAAGTTTTTATGTACTTTACATTAAATACTATTTAACTTTTCGATGTAACAGGAGTTTAGCAGGCCAGTTTACAGGAAATTCTAAAACATAATGAATAATACAATTCAAATTCTACAATTTTGTGAAATAATTTCAGATTTAAAAAAAATATATTCATAAGTTATATAATAGAAATACGTTATGAAAGCTATATTCCGGGTTTTTGGCTGTGGTCTGCAGGTTTTTATGCCTCACGTTTCGTCTACTAATGCGGTAGCACAACAACTCGAGCACATTGTCATTGTGCTCGAGTTGTTGTTCCCGTTGTTCCCAAAGCAGTAACTGCGATCATGGTATTTGACTCTGGTTTTATATTATTATTAGTTGGCGAGGGTTGGTTTCTCCTAATTGGATCACATGATCATGTTTGTGTACCTGTAAGGACAGGTAGCCAGATTTCATTGATGTTCATTGCCTCTTCTTTTCAATTGAAATTGTCCCTGTGTTTTAGAATTTATATTTCTCCTCTATCCAAAAACACAGGAATAATTTCAATAGAAATGAAGAGGCGATGAACATTAATAAAATATGGCTACCTGTCTTTGATGGTACGCGAACAAGCCACGCCCACCAATAATATTAATAAACCAGATTCGAATACCTGCATCGTAGTTACTGCGTTGGGAACAACGGGAACAACTCGAGCACCAACTCGGGCACTGCGACCGTTATCACATCGCCTTCGATAATGTCTACCGCGGTAATAGACGAAACGTCATGCATAAAACCCTACAGACCACGGCCAAAAAACGAAAAATAGATTTCAAACAGTTATCTCCAGTCGTGAAAGTTTACATTATTTGAAAATTGAAATAATAACAAATAATGATATAATAACAAATAATTATCTGTCAAAGTATATAAATACTTTGTAGGACATTCTTTTTGTGCTGCTTCTTTCCACAACCTCAAACATAAAGCTTAATCAATGGGAATCTGCTGAAGTGTAAATAATCGCAAACTGAAAAGTTCCTCTCGAAAAGTCACTTGGTAATTTAAACCTACTGAAGAGTCCAAATAATACGTATAATACTAATCTATGATATTCATAAAATGTGTCTTCAACTTAAGTAATAAATGAATTAAAAGTGAAATGTATATACTTGGCTTTTTGGCACTTTAAATACAACAAACACTTCAACTAAAAATTTCAACTATTATTTTAATGTCTATCGCCTTACTAGAGTACTTCGCGTACCGCACTGTAACATCCACTTTATAATTATTTTAGATTAATATGATGATACAAACACTGCAATTCAAAATAAATGTTGAAACTTGAATTTAATAGCCCTTTCATGGAAAAAATAAGTTTAGGCTTCCTGTCATGTCGGAAGGATGAATTGTCTTTTTGTTGTACTGTTATAATAGTTGTAATATATAATTATTTCCGCAGGTGGCATAAATATGAAATGTCTGTTGGCAAAATTTCGAAAAATTTCACCATAATCATTGAAGTTGTTGCTGGTGAAAATATGAGAAATCGTGCAACGGTGGCATTCGACAATATAAAGTTGTTCCACTGTTATCATAAAAACGACGATTCCTGTTCACTCAACCAATACAAGTGTAAAGCAACAAAAAATTGCCTAAACAGCACAAGCATTTGTGACATCACCAAAGATTGTCTTCACGGAGATGATGAACAACAAAGTTGTGGTGAGCATTAACTAACAATAACTCAGTGGAAATATAGGCATAAGTTCGCGATAAAACATTTGAAAATTATTGTTTTAGATGAAATGCCGTTTGGGTCACGATGTAATTTTGAAGAAGACTGGTGTGGCTGGCAGAATACTGATATTAAAGTAATCGAGTGGGCTCGTCACAATGGTTCAACTCCCACCAACTTCACTGGGCCCAATTTTGATCATACTTACAAAAATACTACTGGAAATTACCTTTATGTCAACATGCTTAAAGAAAATGCCAAATTTGCTACAGCTGCTATACTGAGAAGTGTAGATTTCAATCCTCCACCTAAGGTCCATGGAAATTCTTCATCTAGATTCTTTAATTCCTGTGCGGTAAGAAGAAACATTTCATAAAACTACATTTACAATAACCATACTATTCAAAATCTTTCTAAAAGGACAATTTAATTCATTTCACGCATTGTTTATAATATTGAATATTCCACATTTAATATTTTGAAAATCATTTCTTACTTTTGAGTAAACAGTAAATGAGTTGAAAAGTGAAATGAAAATTTCTATGTTTTTTACCACTTTTATTTGTAACTAACGTTACTGCAGTTTCGTCCTATACGGACATTCTCAAACTTATACAATAAACTAAGTATGATTCATTACATTCGCCATTATATACCATCCCTGCAGGTACTCATAGAAATAGAGGTACTTGATTGAGTACCTGAATTTACAGTTCACAATGCGGATGTGCCAATTTAAAAACCGGAGAGTAAATTAAATCGATTTGATCATTTAACAGGTTGCACCCGCAATGTTTATGCTTGTGAATTTCCAAGGATTCTAAATTATTGAGTTTGCAACCCTTCTTTGCATAGTGCAGAATTTCCGTATCGTTTAGATTCGGAAACTTGTGGTTGCATGCCAAGGAATGGTTTGAAAACGTCGAATCATTTTTTCCTAGTCTGAAGGACCTTTCATGTTCAGCATACCGTTTTTGGAAATTTCGGCCGCATTGTCCCACATAAATACTATTACACTCCGGACACTTAAGCTTATAAACTCCAGATTTTTCAAACTCGTCAACCTTATCTTTGGCATTGAAAAGGAAATGAGATAACCTGGCATGTGGTCTGAATGCTACTTACACATTGTATTTTCTAAAGAAACCTGCGATTATTTCTGTTCTTTTTCAAAAATATGTTAGCGTTACCCATTTCTTGATTTCTGGTTGTTTGACCTGAGGATATATTAATCTGTTAGTGAATTTCCGGGTTTGTTTTCTGACTAATTTCTGGATAGTATCTGCGTTGAAACCATTTTTATGACCTATCTGTGTAATTGTATCAATTTTCCTAGCTAGATTGTCTGCAGACAAAGGCAGTGAGACTGCTCTGTGCAACATTGAATTGAAGGCTACTAATTTTTGACTGTCTGGATGGAAAGAATCGCTTGGGATGGTGATGTCTGTATAGCTAGGTTTTTTGAAAACATTGAACACTCTGTTTCGAGTGTGAACTGAATGTTGCTATTGAGATTGTTCATGAATGTCATAAATTGGTTCAGATGTCGTGTAGTACCTCTGAAACAGGCAAGAATATCGTCTTCATGACAGCTGAACCAATTTATGATATTCATGAAAAATCTCAATAGCAACATTCAGTTCACAGCAGTAAGGTTAGTTACAAATAAAAGTGGTAAAAAACATAGAAATTTTCATTTCTCTTTTCATTATGATCTCCTACCACGTAGTAACGGCTACATCCATCAATTTATTAGTAAATGAGTTATTTTCTACATAATTTAATTTTATATTTGTAGATACGCTTCTATCTACACAAAACAGGAAAACACAACAGCGCGATATTGGTGCAAGTTACTGAGCTTAAGCCTTCAGAAAACGTTTCAGTAGAATTATTATGGAGTTACAGTGACCATGGTGATCAATGGGTACGCCAGGTTTTCATTTTGCCAAACATTTCACACAGGTGGGTTGAGTTATCTGTCGAAAAATTTCTGTATTTTACTACACTTGAATCATTTTAGGTATTTCATACATTTTGAAGCAAGGAGAGGTATCAGGTACATGAGTGATGTAGCTATAGATGATGTTTCATTAAGTCCTGAATGTTTCGGACTGAATATACCAAAAGAAGATCTAAACGGATATAATTATTGGGATGTCAGAGAAGGACATGAATCTGAAAAAGAAATTCATAAAGATTTCCTGAACAAAACTTGTAAGCACTCTCATTTAATGGATGACATGATTATTCTTTCCTGTTTTTTCTCAAGTATCATTCCACAGATAATTCTTTTGAAAAGATTTTTGCTCTATCTATAATTCTGATTCGAAAATGATACATTATTAGTAAGAAATCAACCAATTGAGAATCTGAAAACGAATTGGTGTACCTACATAACCAATTGACTCCGAATTACCTTTCGAACCACGCACTACAACATAAATTATAAGCACTATAAAAATACATTTATCAGGGAAATGCATCTAGTAGAGTAATGCAGAGTACAAAATAGTTCGGTAGTAAGAATGAAATCAAGGGAAAGAATATATATAAAATTAAAAATTATCCCAATGCACTAAACAGAATCTAATCAAGGTATAGAGAAATCCATAGCAATAATAATAATAATAATAATAATAAAAGAGTTTGACATACGTGAATTATAAGTTTTTTTGCATAAAAAATTTGCACACTGTTTGACAAATTGACATTCTCATGTCTCAGTTACTTTCAAGAAATTGTGACTACCTTGGAGTCTCAATTTGCCTACTCCCAAGGGTCGACTGTGTTTCTACAGTGACTGACTAATGTATTTATTCAAATTTTTGGGGTTAGTGTTTACAAGGCATGTTTATGGTGGGGCCCTGCTTTAGGCTTATGCCTCTTCAGGGTTACAGTTATCTATCTTATAATCTATATTAATATTGTGTTAGTTTTTTCCTTTGTTTGTTCGTTCGGGTATCCTGTTCCATAGCGGTGGGTCGTTGTTTGGGGGGTGTTGGTTCGTGATGAGCCTGGGGTGGTATGGTCGATAGTTCATGATGTTCTTCAGGGTATTCCAGGGCGTGAATTTTCTGCTATCTGATAGCCAATGGATATTCCTCTAGGATGTTCTGAATCTGCTCCGAAGGGTCTTCCAGCAGCCCCAGGAGTCTGGCTGGAGGAACGGGAGCTTTTTCCTTGGTACCCTTTTGGCGCCTCCGCGGGGTCTCCATAGGGAAGTCAGGGTGGCGATGGCCGCAGTGTTGTGGCTTCTCATGGTTCTCAATGCGTCTCTGCCCTGGAGTTCCTGAAATCTCAGATTGATAGGTGTAATATCAATATCATATCCGAATGGAAGGTTGTGGATATTTCTTAGGATTCTTCTCTCGGTCCTTAGTGCAGTAGAGCGCGGCTTTATGGTCCACGATAGGTCTTATAAAGGTTTTGTAGGTGTGTAAGAGAGTCTTTCTGTTTCATCTGGCGAGTTTGCCTCTCAGCGCTTTTAGGAGATTCGCCCTTTTCCCGACTCTATCCAGGGTTTCTCTAAGATCGGTCTCCCAGTTGAGGGTCCTCGTGAAAGTGACCCCCAGGTAGGACACCGAGTCTTGGAGGTGGAGGTTCTCTCCTAACAGTGTGACGTTCAAGTCGTTAGTATTAAGTTAACAACGGGTCGTGGTATTGGGGTGTCTAAATAGGATTGTTTGGGTTTTAAGGGGATTCATTTTGATTCGCCACTTGTTGCACCATTGCTCAAAGGGGTTAATCATTGTTTGGGCTTGTGTTTGCAGGATACGGGTGCTGGTGGCGGAGGAGTAAAGTATTGTTTCGTCTGCGTATTGTAGGATTTTTTCAGTGGAGGGAGAATCGTGAACATAGATTTGAAATAGGGAGGGAGCGAGGGCTCCGGATTTGGGTATGAACGGGGAGGAGAGGGTTTTGCCTACTTTGACACGAATTTGTCTGTTGGTAAGATAGGACGTGACTAGTCTGATGAAGTGAGGAGGAAGTTGGATTTGAATAGGATTCCAGATCAGGCCAGCGTGCCAGACCTTATCGAATGCTTTTTCGAAGTCTAAGAGGATGGCGACAGTACCGAAGGAAGAATTAATATTTTGGGTGATATGTGTGTTTAGTTCTGCTAGCGCATTTTGTATGGTGTGTTTGGGTCTGAACCCATGTTGGTATGGAAGGATGATATTATTTTTGTGGATGAAGTTATTTAATCTGTTAGTGATTAGACGTTCGAGAAGTTTTCCGAGGACATTGAGGAGACTGATAGGTCTATAGGAGTCGGATTTGGTGGGGCCTTTTTGAGGTTTGGGAATCAGGATAGTGTTTGTCTCTTTCCAGGCCGATGAGAAGTATGCATGTCTTAAACATGCGTCTAGGATATGCTTGAGGTGTATCAGGGCGGAGTCGGGGAGGTTTTTCAGGATTCAGCGTTTGATTGAGTCAGGTCCAGGGGCAATGTTTGAATGGCTTGGAGGATGTCTTCCTCACTGAAGGGGGATCTTAGGGGACACTTTGGGTCGAAGAGGATTTGACCGGGATGTCTGCCCAGATACGCGGAGACTTGTTGTTGGACGGAGTTTATGTGACGGTTGTCGAAGTGGATATCTTTTAGGAGTTGGAATGTACATTCTAGGTTTTCTCGGAAGGCTTCGGCTTTATCAGCAGGATTGGAAATGATGTTGTTGTCAATCTCGAGGTGACTAACGGTTTTCCGTTTGAATTTATTGTGTCTACAGTCTCTGGTCTGGTATTTATATTCCCAGACGAGTGATGGGACAGGCTGTTAGTGGGAGCAAGGGCGGGTTTGGTAGTGGGAACGGGGTTGCGACTTACAGAAGGGAGAAGTGCAATGTTGTGAGATGTACGGCGTGACAGTAATCTTTGTGAATCATCTCGTTTGATGAGGCAGCTGAGACGTTTTTCAATTTCAATTGCTTCCAGGATTATCCTGGCTTGGAGAGTTTTTGCTATGGCAATGGTTTTAGTGTTTTCGCAGCTTATTGTGTGGCCTGTTTCATGCGGATGTTTGTAGAAGAATAAGGCTGGACCTGATTTACGAACAGCAAGCTCTTAGGCTTTGCTGAAAACTCTTCTGTGGGTCTGGATGATGTAAGTTCTGGAGTAGGTGAAACATGGTATTTCGTATATGCCCTGTGCCCTTAGGTGTTCGTAGGAAAGTGTAAGTTGGATTATTGGCTGTGAATTCTATTCTTATATCTTTCCTCTTCAGCATTCGGCTCACTTTGTTCATCGGGATATTTAGGGTGTGGGGTATGGGTTTGCTGGAGTTGGATGGATCTTTGAATTTGAGTATCGGAATAGTCGTTTTGGCGAAGGGCGGGTTTGAGTTCGTCTTGTTCCTTGGATATTTTGTGACTGTCAGTGAGACTGATATATCTTTATGATAGAATTCAAAACGGAATTTGATTGGGCAATATGATGATGGGACTTAGCATTGACGTATCGATTAGTATGGGTGGGTTTTCGGTAAACAGTGTGTGAGAAAGAATCATTGGACTTCGCGCTAAAAAACGATTATGGGATAGAAGAAGAATTTGGATTCCATTATTTAATTGTAGGATGAAATATGATATTTCATCCTGTAGATCTATTTTTAGAATGAAGTGATTTTGTAGTAGTTACCTTTGTATTGAAAGAATGGCAGTTGATTGTTTAATAAATATTTTGGATTAAATCTTCAAAATATCACCTGAAAACAAACTTAAAAATAACCAACAAAATATTTTTTTATTTTAAAAGTTTTGGATTAACTTTCATTACTATAATTATTTCTAGTACTTATATCAAGAATAATTCAGAGGGATTTGGAATACACATAACCAAATTGTTTTAAAATATTTGAACCATTTCTACATGATGGGTAGAATTTTCTGTAGAGATGGCTCGTCAAATTGAAGAGAAAGTAACTGAATTCATAATTTAATTTTTTTTTTTCAGATTATGAGATAACAACGTGTAATGCTAAAGGAAGATTTGGACCTACTCAACCAGAATGTACCAAAGCATACAATGGAACAAATGTCAACATCAAAGTAGTTCATGAACCTGGAGTTACTGGGGTTCAGAAATGGGTTGTACCCAAAGACGGTTATTACACGTAAGGTGTATTTTGTTTCAACTTGAAGATTAGATTTGCTTGCTAAGACAGTTAATCAAAATTAAAGTCGTTGATGAAACCAGACTTCATTAATAATCCTTAAAATTCAATTCATAGGATAGAATTGAACAAACAATTAAATAAGTCAATCTTTGATGAGATACGATCATGAATGCCTATGTTCTTATAAAAAATATATCAATTTTTAATTTTTGTATTTTTACTGACAACTCTATAAATTGTCGTTGTCAATTGAAATTATATTATTTTCAAGGTTTATATTGAGTGGAGCTGGTGGAGGTAAAGGTAGTTCCGGAATGGGTTCGTCTAAAGGTGCTATGATAAGGACCGTGGTAGACCTGAAGAAGGGCCGGGAAATTTATATGTTGGTTGGTCAAGAGGGTACTAGTTCATGCGTGAAGGTATGAAGTTGAAATAAATTATTCGTTTGTTTCTGGCATTGTGTATTGAATTGCAGGAGTGATTTCATAAACATACTAAGAGTATGATGATTGATGATCCTACTCTGTGAGTTTATGAAAGCATTCCAGTGAATTTTTTGTATTTATAAAACGTATGTGTTATTTGAGTTTTGATACTTATTATTGGTGTGTTTCAAGTTGCAAAATAAATCGGCATAGTAGTATATATTGTTACGTTTTCCCCCGTGGGTTCACCAATAATTAACAACACTGAATAATCAAACTCAATTTTATTTCACTTAAAATACAACAAACACTTCAACTAAAAATTTAACAATTATTTGAATATATATGGCCTTACTAGATCACTTCGCGTACCGCACTGTAGCTTCCACTTGACTGTCTCGATATCCTCGTAGCTAGCCTTTCAATATGCCGTAGAAATTTCGGCGAAGTTCTGTTGAAGTCGGTAGCATTATTGTTGGTGCTTCTCGAGTGGCGAGGAATAATCGTATATTCGCGCGCTCTTAGCTACGTCACCACTGGTTTATAGCTACCAGTGGCGACCGGTGTTATTTCCTTTCGGGCATGATTAACAATATTCCAAATTTTTCCTTCAGAAGTTTATAGACTCAGTCATAGGTACCATGATTTCTGAACTAAGAAATGGAAGAAGTAAAAGTGAATATAATATATTAAAAGTAAATATTGAAGTAGTTGCTATTAGGAACATTCAATTCGTCAGGCTCAGATATGGACAAATTTCATGATTCTGAAAAGCTACATGGTGCATTTATTCATCATTCCAGGAGAACACTGGCATATATAAATCTTAATAAAATAGTCACTGGTGAGAAAAAAACATCTCAGAAAAAATTATCGGCAACGTTTTAGTAATTCAACCGACTTTGAATATCTCACGGTTTCAGATTTTCCCATGCATCTTGGATAGACAGTTTAGATGATATACAGATTTTTTCTGAATTCGAAATTCTCTTCATTTTCAGAGTCTTGGAGTTCAAAAAAATTCCTCCTGTCACTCCAACAATAATTTCGGAGATGGAATTCGTGGAGTTTTTTATCTTGTTATCAAAGACAGTGGAGGAGGAGGTGGTGGTGGAACGTACATTTTCACAGTGAGTTTCAAACTACTAAAGAAGAAAACTAAAAAATTGGGCATACAAAATTATATTTTCATTTACAGCGCAATGGCACTAAGGAAAAGGTACCTTTAGCAGTTGCCGGAGGAGGTGGTGGTTTAGGTTTAGGTCGTTTTATTGTCGATAATGTGCAGCAACATGGACAAGGTATAAGCAAGTCGAGAAAACCCCACACTGGAAAAATGTATGGACCTGGGTAATTTCTTTTATATTACATTACATCTGAATATACTATCAAGTCACAAATATTCAACTAAAAAAATTTCAACGGACCTCAACTGGATCTTACCTCGGGTGTTCCACAAGGAAGCAACCTAGGTCCACTTCTCTTTAACCCCATAATAAACGATATTGTTGAGGCCATTGACATCGACTGTGATATACGCGGATGACCTGAGATTATATTGTGAGATCAATGGCATCGAGGACTGTCTTCAACTCTCCCTCAATCTGAAACATGTTGAGCAATGGTGTTTTCGCAATAATATTTCCTTAAATGCGAGAAAATGTAATAAAATGACGTACATATGATGTACTGTTTGGAACCTTTGGTGTAGTAATGAATATTACTGGAGTTTTTTCCCAACACCAAATCGTTATTTTTACACCTCGACACGTGTTTCGATCACCAAGTGATCATCTTCAAGAGGAAGATAAAACTCAGTTTTATCAGACATAAATCAGACAATATCTATCCACCAATTGGATTTCCCCATGATGCATTGTTAGCTAGACATGCTATGAATAGCTTGAGTTGCAGTCGTGATTGTCACTCCACAATTTTTCTTTTTAAACTGATTAATAATTTTATTATTGACCCACATATTCTGCAAAAACTGAATTTTAATGTACCTAGACCAATCTCTAGAGTGGTTAATCCTTTTTATCTGCCAACACCACGTACAAATCTTCTGAAACTTTCACCTCTACATAAAATGTGTGTCAAATGCAATTCTGCAAGTTGTCAGTTCGACATTTTTTACTGTTCCATCTCTGAGATTAGGTCTTTTCACTCCAGCTAATTGTTTTTATCTTATAACTTATTGTAATCGTATTGTATTGTGATTTGACCTATATCCCTGTTCTGTAGTTGGGTGTAACGGTGTAACCTGTAGAACAGTGTATGAATAAATAAATAAACATCCTTCACAAATGTTCAGTACTAAGTCAATGAAGTAAGCAATAACTGTAAATGTGAAAGATGTGGTACTTCATAAGCAAAAATTCTGGCAATTATTCTTGCTTTTTTTTTTTTAATTACAATTATACCGCATCAACCAGCTAGGTTATTAGCGGTGGAACAAAAGGTGTTTTACATTTTATATCATGTTAAAAATTTTGACATGAGTACAATTTTCCATAATTTGGTCGTGGCTACATACAGGCAGATAAAAAATTCACTTCTGTAAAAACTGATGTGAATAAGCTGAATTATGGAATCTAACGAATTATTTATGAATCACACGTTAAAAGGTAAAACCTCGTTAGTCCTTAGCTCGCACAAGTTTCTCAACTTCTGAGAGTTGTCGTTCGTATGGGGGCGGCAGTTGATGGACGGAAAAATAGATTTTAAACAGAAACTACAACTGAGCACTACTATCATCAACTTTTTTGTTTCGTGAACTGTCTTCAGAAGTGGAAATTTGTGCGAAATTTAGATGATCGAGGTCCCCCTTTCTAACGTGCCATTCCTAGCATTATAATAATTTATAAATGAATATTTTTTGTGTTCTTCAAAAAATAGTCATGTGATTTTAGGAGTGCTGGTGCTGGAGGGGGTTGGACCATGTTCCCAGGCCTTGTCGATTCCGCCCATAAACCAATGATGGGTAGTTCCTTGCAAGCTGGAGGCATCGGTGGTAAAGCTTGTTATAATTCTACTGATCACCGTGGTGATGGTGGCTTTGGAGGTGGTGGAGGAGGGTGCAGGTACTTAACAAATCACACATATTTTGTGTCTCATTTCTGAGATTCATCTTGAAGGTCTAATGAGTAAAACATCTCATTTTGGTGGTTGATTGAGTTAAATTCTACATAATAAATAGGTACAATTGTTTGTATGAACAATGTAATAATCCATTCAATTATAAATTGATGAGTGAAGCAGAGATAACCCAAAACTTTGTCTTGGGTCTGTTAACTAAAAAATTTATACCAAAAAAGGATTTATTTTGCATGTGAAACTTGTAATATGCTCTGCTTAAAATTTGTAGTTAACTGCTTTTCGTTACATCAAAATAGTATTTAGTTTGTTTTTCATCTCAACCAATAAATAGTTTCTACCAGTATATTGTGTTCCTTAGGGTCGAAAGAAGAGTTCCTTCAGAATCCCAAGATGGGACTGAATAACTGTGAATATATATCACATAAACAATTAGAAAAAAGTCAGCAAATTTCTAGTTCAATTTCAGAGCATATATAAAAAAAACATAAAATTCTTATGAATTTCAAGTTGATTGGTCTCAAGATAATTCATTAAATATACATTTTGCGACGCTGTTTTCAGTATCTAGATAATTAATTTTGATAAATTGATGAAATGTAACTATTTCTGTTATCCTTTCATAACGCTTTCAAAAAATGAAATTGTAGAACTTTAAAGATTCATTTATTTTGAAGTTTAAACATTTCTTGTAATAATGTTTGTATCCGTTTGTATTTTAAACTTATAAGTTATGTGTGTAATTCAATTCATCTATAACAACATGATTCACTAATTACCTTTCTGACCTATTGTGTTGAGTTGTGACGTTATTCTTGCTGGATACCATGTTTTTATTTCAAAAGTATTCGTGAAGGCTATTTGTTCAAGTTATGAATTTTTACAATAGATTCATTATGGCAGTTACACATTAACATCATAAGGTTTGTAGCATATATCTAGTAGGTACTCAAGGTACATACATTTTCAAAGTGAAACAGAAATTTAAAGTAGCACAAAATGAAATTGGTAGACTACGAAAAGGCGATAAAATGTTTATCGAAAAGGAACCCTTCATTCCGCGATGTTTTCCGAAATGTATATTTGAAACTAACACCATTTAACAATATTGTGAAAAATAAAAATGAACAAAAAATGACAGCATAGAACATATTAACATATTCACAAGTTTTCGAAAAGTCTCAGTTGCATTTGAATAAAAAGAATGGTTGGAATTTTATTGTATACTTATCTTTTATGACAAGTTACTGACTAATGAGACTCAACAAAAGTTTTGTGGCTTCGCAGCACGGAATGGCGTGCTCCTTTCTAAAAGAAACCCTATTAAAACTGTTTCAAACTATATGTGGAGTTTGATTCGGTGGTATATTTCATGCAGAAGATTCGCACTTGTGGAGGTAGAGACTAGGTTCCGGTACAACCCTGGTATCAAATATGGGTAAACGATATCGGTTTAACTATTCAAGATTGAAAATAATGTTTACAAAAAAAGTTGTACAGAGTAATGAAAACTATGTTAGCAAAATAACTACCAACATAATAATGTTTAATAAACACGAGATCAATATTGTAATTTTGGAACCTCCTTTATATTTCAACTTGATTGATTTTCTTGAAAAGAAATATCGGGTTATAACAGTACTTAGGGTGGGATTTATATACAAATATTAGTTTATTCGAAATTAATATTGCTTTTCATACAGCGAAACTATGAATTTTCAGAATATAAAAGGTTTGACTACTTCACCAGAAGCAGAAAATTGGACAATCCCTCAATGGTGAAGTCATTCAATTTGGAACAGAGGTGAAATATCTTGGCTTTGTTCTTGATAGAAAACCCACCTGGAACGCTCACTTGGAAAACGTTTTACCTAAAGCCAGACTGTCCCTATGGACATGTCAAAGGATTTGTGGTAAAACTTGGGGTCCCGAACAAATCCATTGGATTTATGTGATGATTGTCAGACCAATAATCACGTATGGTGCAATTGCTTGGTGGTCGAAGACTTTACAGAAAACGGCCCAGGCGAAGCTCTTTGGCTTACAGAGACAGGCTTGTCTGGCCATCAGTGGTGCCATCAGTTCCACATCGACAGCGGCCATGGAGATCCTTCTAGATCTACCTCCTCTCCACATTTTTCTGGAGAGAGAGGCTAGATGGACTTCATATAGAATTGTGCACATTCCCAATTGCACAAATTAATTTAATGCAGAGAGCAACAGACTATTGGTTGACACTGGAAGGTACAGCATTCTGGAAATGACCTCTTACTTTATTCCTCCAGCTGTGAACTTCAAATCGCCTTATAAAGTATTGTTCCCGAATAGAGAGGAATGGATCCTCCGGGAGACGGAAATATTAAGAGCAGATAGTTGTTGGTTCACAGAACCCATGCCTAGGAACCCAGGCGACTATATTTCAAGCGGAAATTTACGCTATTCAATTGTGTGCGGAAAGATTGAAAGAATCCAACCTCTTACATAAGTCAATAAAAATATTCTCGGACAGTCAAGCGGCGTTGAACGCTCTTGGCTCCTACCAAGCAACTAAATTGGTAGAAAATTGCCAAAAACGACTCTCCTCGATAGAAAGACTTAACAGATTGTCTCTGGTCTGGATTCCTGGCCATACTGGCCTGGAAGGCAATGAGGCTGCTGACTTCCTTGCAAAGGAGGGTGCTGCAAGCAGCTTCATCGGACCAGAACCTGCCATTGGCATCGCTTTAGGCTTTGTCGAACCAGGATTGAACATCTGAATGGCAAGAAGATTTATGGACTTCTGTACGACAGAGCCGTACGTTTACCATCTGACCTGAAAGACCACTCACCATACAAATTAATCGGCTTCGTTAGGAAGCTGGGTTTATTTGGTCGAGTTTGAATGAGTGTGAGCCACAATAAACCCTTGCGGGTTGCTGTTGATGATCGAATATACCCGCTTACTTTGGACCTAATCTAACTTCATATGAACTTCCTCTTCAATCGCGACAGAGAATGGTTGTGCCGATAACGACCGCCCTCAAAGATGGCACGTGGATGTTGTGGTGAGAATATTTCCAAACCACAAGGTATAAACCCCAATAACTCCATAATTTATAAACAACTTTTTTCATGGAAAGTAATCAAGTTAAAATATATAGAGCGTTCTAAAAAAATACTATTTTGATAGGGTTTATTGATATTGTCTTGATATTTTTATGACATAGCTTTCATTACTATCCTCAACTTTTCTATTTCGAATAAGGAAGCCGCCATCGTCACACAGTTGAAAAATGAAGAGTGATGGTAAGTTTAAATTTCATATTTTTTCAAGAATTCTTTGCAACTTTGCCTTGATACTCCTACCATACTCTTATTGACTTTTTTTGTGCTAACACTTTTTCAGCTGATGCGGCTAAGCTTCGAAAACAAAGATACTATAGTTGTAATAGCTGGTGTTCATTCACTTCAGTTTTAAAGTTTTCCATTTTTCACCTACCTCTCCAATTTCACAGTGATCACTCTGATTTAAAAGTACATCCAAATAATATCTGTTGTTTTCTTTAAAATATTTGTCACGAAAAAGAAGAATCTAGATTACATTAACTTTGTCTATAATGAAAAAACATTCACTAGAGCATTCATAAGCGAATTGCATTGTTTTTTGATAATTTCTTCTTCTTTATTAGAAATATCCATGAAGGTATGATCTGCATATAGGGGAAATTATGCTCCACCATAACCGCCTGGTATATCGTTTATATAACATTAAAATGGTATTGACCCTATTATTGAACCCTGGGGAACACATATGTTGATTTGTTTTTCATCAGAATTGAATTGTTCTATGAAAACCCAAGGCCTCTACCTCTACATCGATATCAGTAAAATACTCTAAAATTATGTTAACACATTTTGTAGTTATGGTGGAGGAGGGGGTGGTTATGCAGGGGGAAATGCTGCTTCAGTGAACTCCACTAACGGAGAAGGAGGTTATTCCTTTCTGAACTTCTCCAAAGTCGTCTCTCAGTTGTCTGAAGTCTATTCCGGATATAATTCAGGGCCAGGATATGTTATCATCATACCAGAGATCGATGGATGTGACTGCGATTACAAATGTGTTGCTTTGGATGCCCAACGATCTGAGGTTTCTTGCATTTGTCCTGCTAAGTGGATGTTGAAAGATGATAAAAAGACTTGCCAGCGTAAGTACACATGAAGTGTTACAAAGAAGTCTCAACTTTGAGTATTTTTCTTGAACAGCTATGGAAAAATCTGCGAGTGAAGGACCGTACCCAACATGGTTTGTGGTTGTGCTGATAGTTACAGTTTTCTGCTTGACGGCTGCATTTGGAGTCATATGTTTTGTTTTATGTGAGTTGTTTTGCAGACTTTTACAGTGGAATAATGAAAATTATTAACTTTTTTATGATTGAAACTTTTGTCGGTTCAACTAAATTTAATACTCTGTTGATTATAGTAATATATGAAAATATATTGTTACTGCAGATAATAGATATCAACAGAGAGCATCGGGTATCATGAGACGGAAAATGCTATCCGGAGCAGATTTCCAGCTTGATAGGCTTCGTCTTGCCTCAGATAGTATGATGACAGAATACAACCCGAATTACGAGTTTGGAGGCGTGGTATATACTCTGAAAGATCTGAATGATATTCCGAGAGACCAACTTCGTCTGGTAAGGTAAGTATCAAACGATATTTAATTTTAAATTTGCATATGTGTAAAATGAATGTAATGAAAATTATAATCTTAATTTTTTATATATTTATTTATGTTGACGAGTACATAAAATATTTTGAGTTTTTTTCAAGATATCTGAAAATGCCCTCAAACTTCATTATGAAAATGTTATTAATGATGATGTGCATTATTTTTTCCGTAAACATAATTTTCCACAAATCAATGTATTGTGGTTGGCGCTATTGAGCATAATTAGAGAGATATACTGGGTGTTTCCTAACTTCGGTACGAAACTTCAGAGGGTGATTTGGAATATTGAAGAAAAAAGGACGCCACTGACTTGTTGTTGTAATTTTTCATTTTTTGTCGCTTGTGTCATATCTAGCTTCGTTTTCGAAAAAAAAAAAATTGAAGCCACTTTGCATAACATGAACACCTGTTTTGAAGACCAGCTGATAGTTATAATGTTGTCATCTCCGTGAAAGTCAGAATTTTCAATTAGCAGTGATTCCATCATGAACAACTTTACTAACCTTTGGTGTAGTAATGAATACTTATTACTGGAGTTTTTCCCGACACCAAATCGGTATTTTAACACCTCGACACGTGTTTCGATCACCAAGTTATCTTCAAGAGGAAGATTAAAGTGTTTAATCTTCCTCTTGAAGATGATCACTTGGTGATCGAAACACGTGTCGAGGGAAAAAACTCCAGTAATATTCATTCAGTACCAGAAAAATTGCACTGCAGCTGAAAGTCAGACTAAAAAACGTATTGACAGTTCTAAAAAGAAAACGCCTATACCCATATCACTCACAGCGGGTCCAAGCTCTACTGCCTCGAAGATTTCACCCAAGATTAATGTTTTGCATGTGAAGAAATAAGTTTTTATTCGAGCATTCGAATAAAAATTTGTATTGAAAGCAGCTTCATCATACAAACAGCATCGAATTGTGTGGAAAAGTGTTTTGACAGTTTTCAAATAACTTGGTGGTTTGAGATAAACTGTTTTTGATATTTCGAAATGATTTTATTGAAAATTGGTCCGAGGATTGTGATCTAATGTCAAAAACCTTGGTTTATGGTCCGATTCCATTCAAAATCTTTACCTGAATCTACCATTCATAAGCTAAATTCATTAGTTCTTTAAAATAATAGCATTTGTTTCAGATGGCGCCTCAGTACGGGCGACAAAAATATCAAGAATGAACGTAAAAGTACTAGATGGCGCGCGAAATTGCTTCAAACGAGTTTATAACATACTGAGTATCAATGATTTGTGCAGTATATATTTTTCGTTAGTTCAGACACTCTTATTGTATGGAAATCTAGGATGGGGAGGGGTCTATAGTACAACTGTACAACCGCTTATGGTACTACAGAAACGATTTCTCAAAATTATCTATAATTTAAATTTTCGTTTCCCATCGACACAAATATTTTACAATAGAAATAAGTTCAAAAGCCATCAACATGGATATGAAACCCGACTCAAAGCGAGTAACCTTGATATACCGAAAATGAACAAAGATATTTGACAAAGATTAATTACATAGGTACATTGGACCCAAATTATTCAATCTTGCTCCAGATCATATAAAAACGGAATATGTGTTTAAGTTTTTCAAAATTTCAGTGATCAAATGGCTCAAAAATAAAAAAATAACATTATTATAAACAAATTCTACTGAGTTAATGTATCAATTTTTCATATATATTTTTCATCTTTCTTTCTTTCTTTATATTGTAACATTCATATTTTTATACGTTTACACATTTGAATTCTTACGTTTTATATGTTTTAAATTATGGACACGTTTAGAGATTTTATACTTTTAGATTTTATATTCAATGTGTCTTTTTTGTAGGATACTGAGAATATTATTCACTACTTTTTAGGAAAAGATAATATCGACATTGTTAATACTATTTATAAATATAAGCACTAAAATGTTTTGCCCGCGTAACTCAAAATACCATATATCTTGACCACCTTCAAAGGAAATAATTTCGATATTGATGTTTCGCAGACAAGTTTTCCAAAAACTTAAGTGAATCATCAATACCTCTGTTTTCTCAGATAAAAATTCAATAATAAGACTCGCTTTGACAAACCTTTCCTTATATCTATATTAATCGCCAATTTTTTTCTATTGTATGCTTTTATAAATACATGTAATTTAGTGATTAATAAACTACTACTAAAAAACTACTACTACTACTACATTCTTTGATCAATGTAATTAAAGTTTGAAGTTAGACTTACAAAAAATTTAAAAAAAAAATTGTCAAAACGGTAAAACCGGTGGTAATATTATAAGAATGTTATTTATATTTGGTTAAATTCGAATTTTTTTTTAAATTAGTAAAGGTATTTTTCAAAGTGATATAACTTCATCAGTGTTAGAATATTCAAAGTTTCGAAACATTTTTAGGGCTCTCGGTCAAGGTGCTTTTGGTGAAGTCTATCAGGGCTTCTATAGACAAAGACCATGCGACACTGTTGAGATGCCTGTGGCAGTGAAAACTCTTCCAGAAATGTCGACTTCCCAGGCTGAAATGGACTTCCTCATGGAAGCACTCATTATGTCCAAGTTCAATCACCCTAATATTGTTCATTTCATCGGAGTTTGTTTCAACAAGCATCCTCGATTCATAGTTTTGGAACTGTTATCAGGAGGAGACCTGAAGAATTTTTTAAGGGAATCAAGGCCTAAACCAGTAAGATATAGATTTTTTATTCATAATTTTGATTACAGTTACTTACATTGCCAAATTTCAAATTTATATTTCAAGAGGTCTGAGTGATTGATTGGTTGATGTTGATTAGTCATTCCGTATTCGACTCATTTTTATAAAACCATTTCCTGTGACACTATGACTGATGCAAATCAATTCAACCTTTGCCACATGAACCATCATTGGAAGGCGCTAATAACGTTTGAGTTACTCTAAGGTAACTTTGTCATGTTATTCTGTTTATTGGCGCAAATGATTCAGTTGATAAATCATTTTTTTCTTTTGTGGAAATGCCAAATTGAAAAATGCACTGCATTGACCTTGAAAACAAAAATATTACTGTTTTTGAAACTGTCACTTTACCTTAATAATTTCGAATTTGACCTTTGAATGATATAAGAGCATCTGTACTCTTTAATTAAATCGAAGAAACTAATGTATTTAATACCAATGAAAGTACTCATAACATTGCAACAAATCCAATGCAACTTTTTGATCAGAGTATCAGAATACCTGAGTAAAACTAATATATAATATGCTTCAATATGAATCGAGTGATCGAATGATTGAAAGTGTTTTTATGATTCGATATGCTCGCTACTTGATGTTCGAGAGAGAGAGAGAGTGATGTTTTATGTGTGTTTCATCAATTGTCATATCCCCTGAAAACGATAGAATGCTTAGAAATACCATGGTGTAATCACTTGTACTCCTTCCAATGTAAAATTTTGACTAAAACACTCGATCTACGGAACTCTTGATTCTTGATAAAATAGAGAGATTTAACGTATTCAGGCATATTTCATTCACATTTCGGAAATCGTGTGCAATGTTGGATCAATCTCAGTAAAACACCAGGGTTTTTATGCACGTTGTTTTCAATATATGTGTATCCACGGAACTTGGTAATTCATGTCATCAAATTGGCAGCGAAAATTATTTATATTTCATATAGGGTGATAATATTAATTAACCAATGATGGTAGTTACGGAAAAAATGTAAAATTTTCATAATAGAAGTATTCATGAAATGTTTACATCTACAATAAGTATTAATGAATATATATAATGCTTCTAGGAAAGACCGAGTCCTTTAACTAGGAAAGATTTGGTGATGATCGCCGTTGATGTTGCCAAAGGTTGCAAATATCTTGAAGACAATAGATTTATACACAGAGATATAGCTGCCAGGAACTGTTTACTCACGACTAAAGGACCAGGAAGGTGTATCAAAATAGCTGACTTCGGAATGTCTCGAGATGTTTATAGGTTTGTTTTAATTCCATGCATCTCTGTCCAATACAAAAATAATTAACATTTATAATTTTCAAAACAAAAAATCTTGAAAATGTCATTTTCTAGAGCTTATTCAACACGACATTAGTCGTTTGTTTGGAGGCGATTTACAATGTTTCATGATGAATTTCATTAGTTCAGACTTCCATTGTCTGATATTATATAAAAGGATTTGAAATCCCTGAAAGAACTAAAAAAGATAAATTAAAAAATGAATAGCTGAAAATAACAATTATATTAAGCAAAAAAATTTGAAATGTATCAATTCCAAGTTTTTTTTGTTTAATATAATTATTGTTATTTTCAGCTATTCGTTTTTAAATTCCCCTTTTTTAGTTCTTTCAGGGATTTCAAATCATTTTATATAATATCAGACAATGTAAGTCCGAACTAATGAAATTCACGAAATTAGTCTTTGAGCAATAGGTACAACATAATGAAAATATACATTAGATCAATAGTTCTAGAACAGTCAAATATTGCCATTGTCTTGAAATCGATATTTTTTTTTCTAATTTACAATGTATATAATGTAACGCTTTACTTCAAACCGGGAAAATAATAAATTCGTTTGTTTTGATACACCGATGTGAGAATTTTTTGGATGTTTGAGTAATGTTCGAAATGATGTCCTTCATTTTCCAAACAGCGATACACTCTGCTCTCAAAGTCCTCTCTAACATTATGGAGAACTTCTGCCTCAAGTTCTCCTTATGTGGCTGTTAATCTTCCCTCCAGAATTCCAGAACTTCCAAGGCTGTATTTTATAAACAACATTGGAAGAAATCTAGAATCCTATTGCTCCTCTTCAACCAATCCATCTGCCAGGAATGGTGGAGCTCCATTTCGTGGGAAGTGAAAAAGATCGTCTTGCAAAATCATGTTACCAGTCGCATTTATTTGATTGTGGGATCTATTACTTCTACAAGCAGAATCAAGTAGAGCTTACCTGAGAATACTAACCCAAACGTTCACTTTCTTTGAATAGTGTGTATGACCTTTCCTAAAAGTCGCGAATCTTCATCGCTCCAGCGATAGTTTTGTTTGTGAAAACACTCATCACTTCAGCAAATATTGTGCGTTTTCCTTTATGAAATCCGTCATTGTTTCACAAAATTTTCATTTTGAACGGAAGAAATGTATTTAACTTTAGCGCATTCCTTACTGTTTCGTTTCCTACTTGGCATACCACAATGCAAAGTGATTTGAAGGGTTTGGCAGTAAAGATGCCTGAAACTTCTATTTGCCCTGTTTCATTCAGAAGCAATTAGATATTTCTTTTTGGTCAGCAACGAAATCAGTTTTTACCAATCTTAGCAACTGCCGTTCTTTTTGCGCATCTTCGAAATAAGAATACCCTTTCCTCCTTTCTGGATTCCATCCAGAAAGGAGCCATCACTTGCAACCTTAATAGTCTGGATAATTGAAGAAAGGCCGGAGATTTTTTTCTCTTTTATAGATACTTTCACAGAAGGTGTTCAAGTAACTTTGGCACATTTGATTTCACCAAGAGCGGTACATATCAGAAATACGCGACAGACTGTGGCTGCTCATCCTTTTGAAGTTCAACTCAGTCTACCTCGAATTCAGTTTGATAACTATTTCAGTTGAAAAACTGTGGTTATGTGAAATAAACTTCCTGAGAACGTTTTTCCAAATGGATTTAATGTCCAGTAATCCAATGTAAATCGCTACTTTCGCATAGGCATCGCTCTTAGAGCACCTCAGACTATTTTTGACAAAAATTATAATTTATACTTGTATGTCATTCATTACAAGACACCATTTATTTATATTGCACGTTTCAGATTTATTTTATTTTATTTTCCATACAGACTTAACAGCCTAATTACATGGAAATTCTTTTTACAAATTAATTGTGTGAGCTCACTTCTATACATATACACTGAAAGATTTACTTTCAAACTTACGATCACAGTTATATTTCTAATAAATAATTAATAACGTTATATCTAAAACTTGAGAAGGAATTACTGAAATCTAAATTTTTTTAAAACAATAATTTCATTTGCTTTACGAAGCATTGTTGAGAAAGGACTCACAGCAGTTATTTTGTACTTGCCTTGGGTAGTTTAAAAAAGATTAGACTTCTTGTAGGATACTGAGGAACATTAAAATCTATGAGTTCGAGTATGTTTATATCTGTAATATAGTTGTTTATCACCTTGTATAAAAACATTATTTGTGTTATATCCCGTCTAATATAAAGAGATGATATTTTGAAATTCTGCCTCAAATCCATTGATCTGACATTTGTGTAATCTGACCAAAAATGTTTTTCTTTATAATATAGTTATATCAGTAACCTATTTTGTATTTCTTCTATTCTATTTAAATGCATCTGTCGTTGGGATTTCCAAATGAGCAAACTAAATTCTAATATTGGTCTTGCAAGTGTGATATAAAGATATTTTATCGTGGCTACGTTCACAAATGAATAGCTAGATCTTATAATAAATCCCAACATTTTGTTAGCCCTTTTACAAATTTTATCAAAATGTTTCGAGAATGACAAAGTGTGATCATAAATAATCCCAAGATTTTTCACTTCGTTTTTTCTGTTAAGGAAAGTATCTCCAATTTTGTAACTAAATTCAATGGGGTTTTTTCGCAAAAAAAAGATAACGATATTACATTTATCAATATTAAAGTATAATTTATTTTCAATGGTCCAATTATAACAACAGTGTGTAACAACGAAAACTTAACAGAGCCGTTTTTGAATATAAAAAGTAAGATTTTTAAAATAAGCTCGATCACGTCGATTTCTGATTAAAGGGGGACACCTTTCAGACTAATCAGATTTTTTGTAGTACGCACCCCCTCGGAGGAGTACGTCCGACGACCCTTATTTAGATAGGGAAATTAGGTCAAGTGGTACCTTGTTTTAAAGGACTTTCGAATACCTTTACATCTCTGTTAAAAGAAAAATTTTGTAACGATTAGTTTTCGAGATAATTTGAAGATTTAAAGGTTTTTTTTTTGAGTTCAACTGTTTTTAAAATAAATCATATTGTTTTCAAGGTACAATTTACGTTCAGAACTTTCATAAAAAAAATAAATTTTTGCTTTTTATCACAACCTGCTAGTACGTGTCCATTTGAATTCGTAAAAAAGTAAGAATTATTTGTTTATGGGGTTGGGGATGGGGTTGGTTACCACCCTTACATTTTAGGTAAATTGAGTGGTTCCTCCTTATGAAGGTTGCCTTTTGACGTGTATATTTTATGCCTCTGATAAAAAAGTGAATCATACTAAAAACTTACCTACACAACGAATACGACCTGCTGATTTCCTTGAATGCTGATGACACAGAAGAGTTAAAAAAACTGTTTCAGGGTTAATAAATCCCAATAATTGTTTTTAAAGCACACACAAAAAAAGTAACATCTGATAAGGGTAACTCACATAGGAAATTTAGAGTAAATGTTCAAAATGTGCGCCATTTTGCTCCATGCAACAATAAAGATTTTGCTCGAATTTTGCTCTTACATTATTCAACATCTCAGGAGTTATAGCTTGGCATTCATCAATAATTCTATGACGTAATTCATCCAAATTGGCTGGCTGTGTAGCATAAACTTTAGACTTTAAATATCCCCACAAAAAGTAGTCCAGTGGTGTTAAATCTGGTGATCGTGCTGGCCATTCAATTTGACCTCTTCTGACAATCAATTGTCCTTCAAAATGATTATTCAAAAAATTTCGAACCTGCTGGGTGTAATGGGGTGGTGCACCGTCTTGTTGAAAATGGATAAATTTATCTTGGATCCTGTTCAATTATTTCAACTATACGAGGTTTTATTGCCTCTTCAAGAAGTTGTAAATAAGAATCACCGGTTGAATTTCCATCAATGTAAAATGGACCTATAATATGATTGCCTAATATTCCGGCCCAGACATTCAACTTTTGGGGATGTTGAGTATGTATTTCTGCGTATTGTCTTGGGTTTTCATCCGACCAATAACGGCAATTGTGACGGTTCACGCAACTATTTAAATGAAATGAGCTTTCGTCCGAAAAACAGATGTTATAAAGCAGTTCGGGATTTTGCATTATTCTCTCACTCATGCCCTCACAAAACTCCTGTCTTCGGTCAAAATCATCCTCATTGAGTTCATGAACAAGTTTAATTTTGTAAGGATGGAATTTGTGGTTTTTAAGGATTCTCCATGCGCTCATCACTCCAATCGCATTATCGTCATTCACTACCCTTCTCTGGACATTTCTTTTCTTATTTAAAATCGAACTTGTCTCCCTGAATTTTGTGACCAAATCCAGAACGTGATTTCTGCTTAGGTGTTTACCAGGGTTTTGCTCGTTAAATAAAATTGATGTTCTATTAGCATTTTGGTCGTTGCCAAAAAATGAAGCAATAACTGAAACCCTTTCAGCAGTAGTGTAAGACAGTTTTAAACAAATAACAATACACGACCCGTTCAAAGAAAACAATCGAACGATGTACTAATGAAAACTGGAAGAAGAGGAGTGGGTATTGATTTAAAAAAAGGGATTTTATTTAACAAAAAACTGATGAGAAGAACTGTTTAAAATTTTTTTTATTCAGGCATACAAGTTACCGAGTGGTCTGTCTAATGTATTATTAACATGGCAATTTTAACTTCAAATTATCTCGAAAACTAATCGTTACAAAAGTCTTCTTTTAACAAACTTGTGAAGGTATTCGAAAGACCTTTAAAACAAGGTGCCACTCGACCTACTTTCCCTATCTAAATAAGGGTACGCACCCCTCCGAATGGGTGCGTACTACAAAAAAATCTGATTAGTCTGTGTGAAGGTGTCCCCCTTCAATTAGAAATCGACGTGTCCGAGCTTTTTTAAAAATCTTACTTTTTATATTCAAAAACGGCTCTGTTAAGTTTTCGTTGTTACACACTGTATATTCTATCAGTGTCTTTTTGTAGTGCAACACAATCTCTAAAGGTTTGAATTTCTTCAAAGCATTTGAAATCATCTTCAAAAAGGAGCCCTTCAGAAAAATGTAAACATGGTGTTAGGTCATTATTAAATAAACAAACAGCAAAGGCCCCAAGTTTAATCCCTGTGGAACACCCGAGGTGTCCCATAGGGATCAGAGTGAATACCATTATATCTCACTACAAAGTTACGATTCTGGAGATAATTATTGAATAAACCATGGTTGATACCAAATTTGCTGAGTTTTGAAAGCAATATGTCATGATTGTAAGGCTAGAGGAAATGTACACGCTGAAAAAACATCTTGCATATTGTAACATATACTGAATGAACTCAGTTTTGTCCAAAATTTTGTATAAGTAATTGCATCAAAACATTTTTTTAATATTGACATTGTTGAGTATTGCTTCGTATTCGTATGTTATTTCATAACATTCATTTATACTTGATTTTCGTTTAGGTCGGACTACTACAGAAAAGGTGGGAAAGCAATGCTCCCTATTAAATGGATGCCGCCAGAAGCTTTCCAAGATGGCATATTCACCAGCAAAACAGACGTCTGGTCATATGGAGTTTTGCTTTGGGAAATAATGTCTATGGGTTACATGCCCTACACTGGCTGTGCCAATAAAGATGTGATGGATCTTGTAACAACAGGAGGAAGACTGGATCCACCATCTAATTGTCCAGGTGAGAAGACTATATTCGTATTTTCGATAACTTTTTTCTTGACAAAAATAACCACCTGCGAAGATATATTTTTCAACATATTCTGTTCAAGGTCCTATTTATGGTATAATGACCCAGTGTTGGCATCCCACTCCAGAACTCAGGCCGTCATTCGGGACAATTCTAGAAAGATTGGGATATTGCATTCAAGATCCTGATGTGATGAATGCCCCATTGCCAGTGTTTCATCGCCCACCTTCGTATGAAAAAGATATGACGGTGATGAGACCTAAAAGTACAGAGGAAAATTGCCTACAGGTAAAACCTGCTACTTTTTCAAATGTTTGTGACTTTGAATAACCTATTTGTCGGTTGGTTTGATTAAAATATATAAAAATCCTGGTATATCAACATCTTAACTTCAATCAGAATTTTAGATAAAATAATGACAACACTGCATTTTGTGGCAAAAATATGAAATTTCAATTATTCAGTTCCTTTTCTATTTTCAGTATATGGTATGTTAGTATTTGGCAGCAACTCAGTTTTGCCATTCTGTCTGAGAAATAGCTTAATAAATCAAAATATACAGTGTCACCGATAAAGTCCGCATCAAAAGGGAAACTTTTTTATTTATCGTTTTATGTGAAATTTGATTTTGGCAGTAGATTTTGCTTAAGAAATGATGTCAAATGGCGTCTACAAAATAGGTCACGTGATTTCCTTAACCTGTCAAAATTGACATTTAAAAAAAGAAACATCGAAAAATGACATTATTCTTCAAAATATCCAAAAATATCAAAGGATAAAAACATTTTCTTTTGTAATTTTATACCCACACACAAAGTTTCCAACCCATAATAAGTATTTTATATTTTCACTATTTTTCCGCATTCCTGCTTTTTCTACTTATCAAAATTTAAGCACACCTGTACTAAATCATTCATTTTAACTGAACTCGTCACCGAATTTCTTTTTTTGTAATATAATAATATTTTGAGAGCCTCTTTGATGTTAAAAACAAATTTTGAAAAATAAAAGTTGTCAAACTTGATGCAAAGTTCATCTAGTTTCAACGGGGCTTTC